TATTCCTATCGAATAATCGTACGCGTTAAGCGTAGAAAACGCATTGCTTCTTTAGCTACCTAAACGCTTTGTCTTCCTTCGTGCTCTAGTTCTATTTCTTATCTTTCGTTATAAGCTCCGTAAGGGGTACCGCTATCTTAGAGTAGCCCTCGATGAATTTTCTGTTATAGTTAGCTAATCCTAGGAATAATTGTACGTCTTTAACGTATATAGGCGTTAGCTATTCCTATATTAACTTAGTTTTTTCTAGATCGATCCTAATTCCTATAGTGCTAATAATAAATCCTAGGAACTTAACTTCCTTCTTATAGAATTCGCATTTCTTAGGTGTAGTCTTAAATCCTACTTAAGTAAATCGTTCAAAGACGTCCTATACTATTCGTATATAGTCCGCGAGAGCTCCCTTAGTATAGACTAAGATATCGTCTATATATACGATAACGTATACATCTAGAAGGTCTCGGAGGACTTCGTTTATAAGGTCTTAATATAACGCCAGGGCATTTGTAAGTCCTATAGGCATAACTAAGAATTCGTAAAGCCTATATCTTATTCGGAATGCTATTATCTATTCGTATCTAGCTGCTATACGTATTGCGTAAAACGTATCGCGTAGGTCAATCTTCGTATACTAGTCTAATCTAGTTAATCGGTCTTGCATTTCTTCGATGTTCGGTAGTAGGTACCGATTCTTAATTGTAATATCGTTAAGTCGTCTAAAATCGACTACTAGCCGTCCTTCGTCTAATCCGGCTTTTAGAACGAATATTACTAGTAAGGCTGCCGAGGATATCGACTTCCGTATCTAGCCTTTTTCTAATTTCTCTTTTAGCTACTTATCTAGGGTTTTAAGCTCTTTCTTAGACATTGCGTATAAGGGTCCCTATAGAGGCTCTTTCCTAGGCTATAAGTGTATCTTATAATCCTATAGTTAGTATTTAGGTAAGGCTGCCTTGCCTCTCTCCTCTTTAAAGAGTCGCTTCTACTTACTATACTCTTTAGGAATGTCTAGGTCCGAGATTCTAGTTTCATTCTTCGATAGCGTATAACTTCTATCCTTCCCGTAATTATTATTATAACCCTCCTAACCTAACGGTAGTATCGATCCGGGTTAAATACGGTTCTCCGTAATTCCTATCGACGTAAACGTCTTACGAGTCGCTCTACGTTTGTTAATCTTATCTGCCTACGAACGCTACCGCTATATAGGTTAAATACAATCCCGACCTCTATTGCCGCTAACTTAGCAAGTCTAATAAGCTGCTTAGCCGCGCTAAATTGAACACTTAACTACCTAATTATGTAACTATATCAAACCTTAAACGCCTATAACTAGAAGAAAGGCGGGATAGCAGCGAATAATTAGAGACGAAGGGAAGACAGTTAAGAAGGAAGGGAGGACGAATAGAAAGCACTATATACTAGGGCAGAGGAGGTACTAAAGGCGGAAGATAGAAGAACCCCTAAGAGGGCATATAGGATAATAATCTTAGAACTCCTTAGAGGACTGAAAGCAATCTACAACTAGGCAAGCCACGTAATTATAAAGGTAGCTAATACAGTC